CTCGAAAGTTTGAACTTATCAATAAAATATTTCTACAATAAAGAAGCACATTATGTGTTGTAAATTATTTTTTGCAAAATTCATCCGTTTCGAAATTTTGAAGTCTAATTTATTTTTTTAAACGATACCATGCATATTTTCTTTTTTATAATACAATGTTATTAAGACGAATTCACTGAGTTGCATTTTCGACGGCCGAAATCATTTATTGTTATAAATTATTAATAAAAATAATACAAAGTATGAGTGACTTAAATGATATATATGTTATTATTAAGATTTTATGAGTTTAAAACATTGCTCATTCGTATTTTCCTCCTTTCCGATTGTCGGTAAACTTACAGATTAACCACTCTTTCATTGATTTTAATAATATTAAATATTATTTAGAAATCGATATCCCGAACGACCCTTTTTTCAATAAACAAAGTTCAACATACTCGTCAGAAAAAGAAATTGTCCAAAATACCTTCACAAAACATTCCAAATCGGTGAAGGAATAGTGAATCTAACGACAAAAAAAAAATGAATTAAAGGGACACAGGCAAGTTTCGATTTCCCTGACGAAAGCATAGTTGCCAAGACCTAAAAGCCTTACATGGTTGCCACATTTCCGTTACTATTCTGTCCGTCGATGAAATGGTGAAATCTGCGCAAACTCAACCAAAATTATCCGATTTGATCCGAAGTATCAACTACCCGCATTCCTTTGGGCAAATTTTTATTTAAATAATAAATAATACATAATAATTAAAAATATAATTTTTATTTAAATAAAAATCATTTAAATAATATATTAAAATACACACTTCTAATTTTCAATAATACATTTGTTCTATATTTAATATTATACAAAACAAAAATAATCTTTTACTACGTTTGTCTCATATTCGTTATATTAAATATGAGAAAACCAAATAAATCACGCAAATAATATCGTCGTTTTTCATAAATATAATTTATTGGATGTTAACTCTTTTTAACTGTTTTTCATAAATATAATTTATTGGATGTTAACTCTTTTTTCAATAAATCTTTATGATAGAAATATAAATATTGCATTTAAAAACAGTTACAAAACTACAATAGTGAATGTTAAAGCTGACGTACGTATTATTGATGACACGAACGTACTTCAGAGTTAACTTGTCAAATTAGAGATTTCATACTTCTGTCACATCCTCACGTATAGACAATTTAGAGATTTACAGACTGATCCCCTATTAATCTCAGTTAGTTCGAATAAAAGAAATTTTTCTCGTACAGTAGCAATTGCCATGCTTATAAGATGGATAAAATTGCTATGCTTATAAGATGGATAAAATCTTGTTCACGTAATCCATTCTGTTAATTCTATTACTTCATTCATTGTCAGTGTGATACTGTGTTGTGAAATAATAGGAGAACTAATTGTAAGATGAAAGAAAAGCATGCTATGTATAAATATGATATAGTTTTTATATTAATTATATTATATTATTTATAACGTTTTTTATTAAATTATTTTATTACAAGAAATAAAAAGTTTTGTTAAAAATAATTAAAAATGATTGTTTACTAAAAATCCTTTTGCTGATTTTAAATCTGAAATATTATGTTCTTTATATTTTTATTTCCTGACGAATAGAACAGTATGAGACGATAAAATCCTCGTAAAATATATCTAAAAAAAATGTTCTTTAGCAAGTACGCTTTGAATAGGAAATCTGAAACCCTTTAAATAACTTTGTTAGGAATTCGTCACGCTGAATTGTCTTCCGGTTCGGTCAAAAACCAAAGTACAAATTAGAAAAAGATATATGTATTTTTACGTCACGAAGCTCTTATTCTAATAAAGTTTTGTGAAATTGTAAAATATAAGTTTTTCTTCTATCCCTTGATCTCCAAAAATTTATATCAAATAATATGCCCCTCTGTATCAAATTTGTAAATACATTCAACATTGGTGAATTTTGCGAGATACATAAGAATATATTTCGTAAATATATTTATATTTTTCATTAAATCTTCATGAAATATTAAAGAATTACATTTAATAAATAAGAAAGTTTTATTATTGTCAATACTAATAGACAAAGTAGTTTATAGAAAAATTTCGAATAATATTTTGATTAATAAGCATAATTTTTAACTAATGAATTACAGAATTTGTTATTTGTCATAACCAATGCATTACAAAGTTATAATAAAATTGTTGAAAATTTAACATAAATTTGAATATGTAATATAAGGAATATGTAAATGAGGAAATACAATAATTTTAATTTTAATAATTTAATATTAATAATAATTTAAAATGGTTGAAAACTTTGTTAGTTAAAAATTTATACATAAAACCATGTATTAATAATTTTAAATTTTTAACTTATTATATATTAAAAAAAGTTGTGATAAATCCGTAAAACATGAATACAGATTATTCTTTCTGATAAAGTGATTTCAGTTACTTCGTCTATTTTCACTAGCTTCATATTTCGGTATTGAAAGTTTGACAACACTGTAAAAATCATGTTGCTGATTCATACACTAATTCCCCAATTCACCGTTGTTTAAACGTAGAGTGCGCTAAAAAACCACTGATTTTTTAGTATGTCGGTATTTTAGGTCACAGGCCACGAAAGTCTGTAAGGTGCAATCATTGACTTAATCAATGTCTATTCATACATCTCGTATTCATACATCTCGTCGGTGTCCTGAAACATGAAATCCCATTTGATGTCCAGTCTATGCTAGTCAGTGATGACCTCGTTTATGGTCCAATCTATCCTATTCTTAGTCAATGGTATGAGACTAGAATAACAATGATTAGTTTCATTGTTTCACCGCTACGTGGTGATAGTGTTTCAGTACACATAAAACGGTCAAATTTTCATTTGTAAAAAAAAATTAATTAAAAGAATTAATTTGTAAAATGTTACAATTAACTTTGGCTTAATTTTCTTCTTATATTTTACCTATAAAAGATATGTATAAAAATTTACAAATCGTACTAAGTAGATCGAAACATTTACTCGAATGATTTTTAATTTTTCAGTTTAGATCATGATTATTTACAAATGTAGAAATATATAAAAAATGAGTTTTATACACAATTTTATTTAATCGATTAGTTACACATCCTACTGTTGTATCGACTCGACAAATTCATGATCGATCTACATTATACCAAATTTGCATTTTTTTTTTTGTATATAATACAAAGATTTTATAATTACATGAAATTTAATTTGAGCTTAAAATCTCCAATAGTTAAAGTCACACAGGTATAATCAAACAAAAATATATCTAAAAAGAACTAAATTTCTTTTATTATACAAAAAATCAATAATTTGTACAAAAAGGTGTACTTATGTTCTAAGCTGTTCGTAATTATACAAACATTTATTATACAATCATTCTCTACAATAAGCAGATATCGAACTCGTAACTTTAATTTCGAACGTACGGAATTCATCGTAACATACACTAATCAATTCATTTTTTCCTAATCACGCACATTATTCGCAGAATTGTAACAATTATAAACACACATTCCATTATAATTCCTACATAATGTACGAAACCTATTTAACAATATACATATATATATACATATACATACATACATATATATATACATATATATATAAAATACATATTATAATTTTATTAGAAAAGAAGAATCGTAAAGTGGCACATCCCCCAAATAGGAAAATATGGTCAAGTAAATTAATATGGACATGTTCGACTTCGACGAACTGGAATAAGAAAAATGTAGTTCCTTCTTAGTTCAAATAACAAGATAACATCTTTTTAGTTATCCCGACGAATCCAGATCCCACCACCATTTGTACTTGTATTTTTTTCACAAATTACGAATAAAAAAGTTAGAGATTCTCTATTAACAATCCGAGCAATAAGAAGGAAAAATATTAAAACTAATAAAATAATTGCACAGATTTACTAAATTGTTTTAGGATTACGATGATTGAGCAGCCAGCATTTCTTCTTGCTGTATTTTTCTGCGGTAGTTGTCCAAGGTAACTTGTATAGTCTTCTCAGAATATCGGCAGTTTTCGGCTCCACAGGTACATGTGAATGACTTGCATTTTATTATCCAGAATTTCTCTCCATAATCAAAGCTGAAGGCAAACAATTCCGTATTGATCTTCAATATATTATATTAACTGTTTTTATAGTAGACTGATAACTTTCTACTACTTACTATTTTCGAACACTACTACCAATTCCGAAACTTACCATCTTCAAAATTAGTGAGAGAAAAGGAAAATAAAATAATAAATATTATACTCAATATATCAGTTTATCTATTATAAGAATTAGAAACAATATTAAGGTTCACATATTTCTAAAGAGCGAAGCAAAACTTTAAGAAAGACTAAAGCGAAGAAATTAAAATTACCACTGATAACGATTAGCCAATCAAAATCAAAACCGGAAGTGGTTTATTAATCAAAAAAAAAA